GGAAGATAGTTACGAGTTCCCTGGCCAAGAACCTTAGCATCGATATCGGAGGTCGAACTCTAGTTGTAGACGCGTTTGTGATCGATATGAATGACTTCGACCTGATTCTTGGCATGGATTGGTTGGCGAGGTACCGTGCTGACATCCGTTGTCGCGATCGGGAAGTGTCGCTACACTTATCTGAGGGAGACCACATCACGTTTTTCGGGACGAAGTCTAGAACCTTGCCGCGCGTTATTTCCATGGCGAAAGCGACGAAGTACATGCAGCGAGAGGATTGTCAGGGATTTCTTGTCAATATCGTTGGGGAGTCTTCGGAGAAGCTGTCTCCTGGAGATATTCCCATTGTCCGAGAGTTTGTGGACGTTTTTCCCGATCAGCTCCCGGAAGGACCACCTAACCGCCAGGTGGAGTTCACCATCGACTTGGTCCCCGGAGCGGGACCAGTGTCGAAAGCGCCGTATCGCATGGCGCCGAAAGAGCTTCAGGAGTTGAAGGCTCAGATTCAGGAGCTTTTGAGTCTCGGTTTCATCCGACCGAGCGTATCACCTTGGGGAGCCCCTGTCCTCTTTGTCAAGAAGAAGGATGGGTCTATGAGGATGTGCATCGACTACCGGGATTTGAACCGGTTGACGGTGAAGAACAAGTATCCGCTTCCCAGAATTGAGGATTTATTCGATCAGCTGAGGGGAGCCAGCGTCTTTTCCAAGATCGATCTCCGCTCTGGCTACCATCAGCTGAAGATCAGAGAGGCCGATGTGGCCAAGACTGCTTTCAGAACCCGATACGGCCATTATGAGTTCGTTGTGATGCCGTTTGGCTTGAGCAATGCGCCAGCGGTATTCATGGATCTCATGAACCGTGTCTTCCATCCATTCCTGGACCAGTTTGTCATCGTCTTCATTGATGACATTTTGGTCTATTCCAGCAGCCCGGAGCAGCATGAGGAGCACCTGAGGACAGTTTTGGAGACTCTTAGGCGTGAGAAGTTGTACGCCAAGTTCTCCAAATGCGAATTTTGGCTTGACCGAGTGGCTTTTCTAGGCCACATTGTCACCTCCAGAGGGATTGAGGTTGACCCGAGCAAGATTGAAGCCGTTAGGAACTGGTCGACGCCGAGAAATGCCACCGAGGTTCGGAGTTTTCCCAGTTTGGCAGGCTATTATCGTCGATTCATCGAGGGGTTTTCGAAGATTGCCCTACCCTTGTCACGTTTGACGAGGAAATCAGTGAAGTTTGAGTGGGATGATCGTTGTGAGTCGAGCTTCCAGGAGCTCAAAGCGAAGCTTACGACGGCACCCGTGTTGACCATTCCGGACCCCACACAGGGTCTCACTATCTATAGTGATGCCTCGAAGCAGGGTCTAGGCTGTGTTTTGATGCAAGACGGCAGGGTTGTGGCTTATGCTTCCCGTCAGCTAAAGCCGCACGAGGTGAACTTCCCGACTCACGATCTTGAGTTGGCAGCAGTGGTTCACGCCCTGAAGATCTGGAGGCACTATTTGTACGGGGGCCACTGCGAGATTTACACAGACCACAAGATCTTACAGTATATCTTCACCCAGAAGGAGCTCAACATGCGCCAGCGGCGATGGTTGGAGCTGGTGAAAGATTATGACTGTACCATCAACTATCATCCGGGTAAAGCGAACGTAGTAGCTGACGCCCTCAGCCGGAAGGGAAAGGGCGAGCTGACCTGTATGATCACTCAGCAGCGTCAGTTGATTCATGAGTTCGCCCAGATGCAGCTAGAGGTGGTCGAATCACCTCCCAAGTTGCCAGTTGTGGGAGGTACTCGAGCGATGAGATTGTGGCCCACGTTGCGAGACAGGATCCGGCGGGATCAAGCCTTCGACGGGTTCATTCGCTCGATGGGGGCGAAGATTCATGCCGGAGGAGTTGAAGGTTTCTACCGAGGCACAGATGGTGCCTTGGAGTACAAGGGGAGGATCGTCGTGCCAAATGTCGAGGCCCTGAAGAAGGAAATCTTGACTGAGGCGCATAGTGCTCCTTACTTGGCGCACCCCGGTAGCACCAAGATGTATCACGACCTGAAAAGGTCCTTCTGGTGGAAGAGGATGAAGAGAGATGTCGCCGAGTTTGTTGAGAAGTGTCTGATCTGCCAGCAAGTGAAAGCGGAGCGCAAGGTTCCACCGGGTCTCTTACAACCTTTAGAGATTCCGCAGTGGAAGTGGGAGAAGCTGGCCATGGACTTTGTCACGGGTTTGCCGATGTCGACCAAGCATCATGACGCAGTATGGGTAGTTGTGGATCGACTGACGAAGTCGGCCCATTTCATGCCCGTCAGGATGGACATGTCCATGGAGCAGCTAGCTGATGTGTATCTCCAGGGAATCGTTCGACTCCACGGCGTCCCAGCCGAGATTGTATCAGATAGAGATCCCCGGTTTACCGGCCATTTTTGGGAGAGTCTGAACGAGTCCATGGGGACGAAGTTGAAGTTTAGCTCCGCCTATCATCCACAGACCGACGGCCAGTCGGAATGAACCATCCAGAAGCTTGAGGACATGCTCCGAGCTTGTGTCCTAGAGCATGGTGGTTCGTGGGAGCAGTTGATACCCACTGTGGAGTTTGCCTACAACAACAGTTACCACTCGTCGATCAAGATGGCGCCGTTCGAAGCTTTATACGGTCGCAGGTGCCGCTCACCCCTTTATTGGGATGAGGTCGGCGAGAAGCAGGTTCTCGGTCCCAAGTTGATTGAGGACACAGTGCAGAAGGTCGCCGAGATCCGAGAGAGATTGAGAGAGGCTCAGAGCAGACAGAAGGCCTACGCTAACAAGCGTAGAAGGGAGCTTGAGTTCGAGCAGGGAGATAAAGTGTTCCTGAAGGTCACGCCGATGAAGGGCGTTGTCCGATTCGGGAAGAGGGGGAAGCTGCAGCCCCGATTTATAGGGCCCTTTGAGATTCTCGAACGAGTTGGTGTCACCGCCTATCGTCTGGCATTACCCCAGAGCTCTCGGGTGTACACAACGGCTTCCATGTGTCGATGTTGAGGAAGTACGTGTATGACCCGAGCCACGTAGTGAACTTTGACGGGCTAGAGGTCGGGCAGAACCTGACGTATGATGAGCGACCGATAGCAGTTCTGGATCGAAAGGCCCGTCGACTGAGGAACAGAGATATAGAGCTCGTCAAAGTTTGCTGGAGTCGCCACGACGAGTCGGAAGCCACTTGGGAGAGAGAGGCCGAGATCAGAGCTCGTTATCCAGATTTCGAGTTTTGATATTTTTCAGTTGTGCATATATGTACTTTCTATTTTTTTTATGTTTCGATGTATATAGTTATGTAGTAGGAGTTATGGCCTAGAACCTTAGTTTAGTATTTTCGAGGACTGAAATATTTTAAGGAGGATAGGTTGTAACGCCCCAAAACAGCAATAATATTCAGAACGGTTTCACTGCTCGACTATAAGTGAAATCCGTAATTTTCAGAAATTATCTAGTTATATTATTTATGCTAAATGCTCAAACATGATAAATTATTCTTTGAATAATTCTATCTCAGGTATAAGTTAAGATTAATCCATTAATTTGGGTTATTAAATAATAGCAAGTCAATTCGAGAAATTACCGGACACGAACCCTAGTTGTCGTTCCGAGTATATTTTCCTAAGTCAAAAAAATTGAGAGTTGATATTTTAATACTTAGAATATTTTTCCCCGAGCAGCACCATTTCCCGCGCAGCCCAGCCGCGCCCTCGCGCCCAGCCCGCGTCCCCGCGCCCAGGGCCCAGCGCCCAGCGCGACCAGTCCAGCTTCCAAGGCCCAAAACACCATTTTTCGGCCCTCTTTCCTCATGGCCCAACTCAGACGTGTAATTAGGACCTAATGAGGGTCTAATTAAGCTTAAGTTACCCTAAGAAATGTTTAAGCAAAGACAATGAACATGGGGATTATTATAATGGTAGTGCATGTGGGCTAGTGAATATTTTAATCACTTGTGCAGCCCTTGTCCCCCCTATTTCGTGCACTTGGGACCAGATCCCATTTGACCTCATTTTTATACACTAAAGGACCTGCCATTCCACCCAAATATTCCATGCAAAGATGCCCCAACACCCTCAAGTTCCTATGCACATAAAATGAGGCAAACTCATGATCTTTGGTCTCCCTTGACCAACATAGTAAGCTCCGCCCTCAACACCTATTTAAGACCCCTCCCTTAGTCCATTTTAAGCTCTTACACAAATTGGAGCTCGAGAAAAATAGTGAGGAGGGAGGAGAAAACCGAGAGCAAAGCTACCAGCCCTGCTGCCCGCGCGCGCGCCCCGGGGAAGGAGAGAAGGCAGCCACCTCGTGTTCCAGCCATAATCTCTCGAGGCTTAGCATATTCTAAGTATTCTTTAGAATTTTCTAAGCCTTTTAGAGTTGATTGGCTCGAACAAATCACACCACAAAGTGAGCTTAACCTCCAAAGCCGCGACTAGCCCTAGTTTGAGCCCTAACTCGATTTCTCCATTTTTAACCGAGGTAAGCTCGGGATTTTTGATTCCATTAATTATTTTATGACATTTTAAGATTTTTCATGAAGAAAAACCGAGCCATGCATGTCATTATATGTGAGTTACGAATTTTTGAAATAAATGACCTTAAAAATGAAATTCGAGTAGGAAGCATGTCTAAGTCGAGATTTCTTGTTTAAACACCCTCAAATATCATACCATTGATGCTGTAAAAATTTGAGAATAAAATGAGTTCATTGCCTTGGTCAAATCATGCTCGAAAATATGTTAAAATGGGGACCCGAACCCTAGTTCATTGCATGCAATATGTGCCACATGTTTTAGCCTCTATAGTCATGAATTTACATGTATAACATTCGGCCCTGAGTAGTTTTTCAAGTTATGTATGTTGGTTCGGACGTCAAGTGCTCGTACGGGCCATATAAGCCCTACCGAGTGAACATGCAAGTGGACCCGGGGTCCACTAGTGATTTATATGTTAATTGTGCTTATTTTATCATATTATGTTGTATGGTCATGCATGTTGCCGGAAATAGTCGCCGGAGGTCCGGCAAGGGCCGGCCTTGGTCACTGGCCGCGCACGTAGTGCGGTAGTGCCCGGCCCCAGTGCCTGTCCGTGCCTGCAGAGGGTAGCCTTAGCCAGTGCCCGCGCCCGGTAGGCGCGAGGCACAGCCCGCGTGCACGCAACAGCGCCCGCAGCGCCCAGTGCGTGCCCGTGTGCCAAGCATAAGCCCCAGTAGCCCCAGCACGCGTGGCCATGGCACCCAGCGTGCCCAGCCATGCGCACGGCGCCCGGCAGCGCCCGTGCAAGCCCCAGTGCACGAGGTCTCGTGCCAGAGCCTCGTGCCAAGTCCAGGGCTGACCCGAGCCGGGCCAGCTGAGCCCAGTTGGCCTCGGTGCATGCCCCAGCAGCATGCCCGAGTGCCCAGTGACCTCGGGGACACCCGGCAGCGCCCGTGTGGTCTCTGTCCGTGCCTTCCCCGTGCCAGCAGTGTCTGGCCAGTGCCTGTCCGTGCCCAGCCGCACGACAGCGCCTCAGTCGAGCCTCGGCCGTGCCCAGCTCGCACCCGAGGGGCACCAGTCGTGCCCGGGCCGTGCCAGCAGCCCCTGGCCGTGCCCACCAGCGCCAGTCCGCGCCAAGCCATGTCCAGCGGCCCCAGGGACCGAGCCCGGTCGCACCAGCCGTGCCCAGCGCCGTGCCCGGGCACCAGCTGGCCCGGCACGGGACCGAGCCCGGTCTAGCCGAACCCAGCCCGACCGCCCGGCCCAGTCGAGCCGGCGGTCCGGCCAGCCAGCGAACCGGCCGGTTCGACCGGCGGTTCGAGTCAGTTTTGATTCGTGATTTCTGATCCGAGTCCAGTTCCGGAAATTTCAGTATTTTTCCGAGCCAGTCCAGTCCAGTTTAATCGCGTAGATAAGTCCGAGCATTTTAGCATATAATTAAATATTCTGAGCATTATACTTAGCATTATTTTGCTTAAATATTTATGTAGCCTAAGGAGAGTCGAGCCTCCGACCGCTACTCCAGCTTCCGCACTTGCATACCAGATTTCAAGTTTTTCAGGTGGGGGTCATGTACTGGATGTCACATCATAGATAATATCTGTACCATGGCAGAGGTATGTTTGAGACAGTTTAGTTCCGGGTTGGGTGGCCGAGGCCTTTATACCCACCTGATGACCGTTGGGAGGGGCGAGGCCCTTTATACCCCATCGGCGTGTGCACACGAGCGGCTACGCCGAGGGTCTTTTGACCACAGATCAGAACAGACATCAGAGATCAGTTTACAGTTTCAGCTCTTATATATTTATGTTTCATGATACGTTATTATAGATGATGTTTTGTTCAGTACTGGTCTTTGCGGAGCATAGTGGTTTTCTCACGCCCCCATTATGTTTTTCAAGAGGCGGAGTCGAGCGTGCCGGATGAGCACAGATGTGGCGCAGCGTGGTCATGAGAGTCGGACATATTTTACCAGCATTTTTATGTCCTAGATTTATGATCATGTGTATTTTATTCAGTTTATGTACGCATGTTATGTATTCGTATTTCGGATGCTTCCGCTAGCGAGTTTTTCTAGACAGTGCGAGACAGTACAGACTATGCATGTATAATTCCATAATCCGCGAGCGGACAGTCTGGTTTCATGTTTTTATTATGTCTGTGGGCAAGCCCGAGTTCAGTTTAAGTTTTTATCTGCCACATCCCGCAATAAGTCAGTATTTTCGAAAATCCAGCTCGCACGTTCTTTCGAAAATAAAAACAAAAATTTTACTCTGATTTTTCAAAGCTAGTAGTAAGGCGGGGTGTGACACCTGACCATAAGGCAAAAGGCAAACCCAACTATATGAAAATGCATAATTCAAAATTTCTACTTCAATCCAAAATCACTAGGGAAAATCCAATCCGAAGTTTAGCAAAAAAATCCTAAATTGAGTGTATCTTGATAATGTATAAGTCACAAAAAACACGTACAATACTGGAAATTGCAAACAGAAATATACCTTTCCGGCGTCCTGCCACGTGACACCGGTGAGCCACTCGACGGTCAAGGCTCCGAGTGTGGCGAGCATGGCCCACCTTCCATGAATAAGCTCGCATTTCCTGAACCTTTGAAGCCTGAATACCTCGCTGTACGGCTGGAACGTCGTCGACTTCACGTCGGCGACCTCCGTCCTTGTCCCGATTATGTCTCCGGCGACGTTCTTGGCCAGGTTCTGGTCGAGCGAGTCCCCGACGAATTGCAGGTACTCGGCGGGCTTTCCGAGCCCGAACGGGTCGAACCCCTAGTCCACGACGAGCGACCCGTCGAGATATTCTGGCGCCTTGGTGCCGGGATACCACAGCGGCCGGTCGGGGACGACGGTCTTCGAGGCGGCGCGCTTGGGGGCCGATTTCTTCCCACCGAAAGCGAATCGGGCCTGGATTCGGGCCGATCGGTTTCCGATGAGCGACGACGCGGCGACAGCCATGGCGGCGGGTGGTGTTTTCAGGTGGGAAGAACTGAGAAAGTGGTTTTTTTTTTATTGTGTGAGATTTTTATGATTTGGATTCGGTTCGGGGATATAGGGCGAGGGTTTGAGTGGTGATTAGATAGAGATTTTTAGAGGTAAGGCGGCCGGCGCCGTTGGATTGGGAAGGGGAGTGGATCCGACGGTGATGGGGAGTGCTGGGCAGCCTGGGCTTATCTGTATTCTTATCTTGTCGTGTGGAGATTGTTGATTGTATTTTTTATTGTTTAAGTTGAGTGAGGGTGCCACGTCGGATTGGTTTTTGTGGTTGATATTTAAGTGGTGGAGATATAGACTGCATCGTAATATCTTTGTAAGTTGTGTGATTTTTTTTTAATTTGTTTGTGAGTTATGTGATTTTTGATGCATATGTTGTGAGATTTTTTGGGTAAAAACAAAGAGTTTACAAAATATATTTATTCGACATCGATCATTTTATTCACCACAAGTTATTTTTTTCATAGGTTATGTGCTAAATTTTTGCACTCTTTCAATCATAAAACAACCTTATAGATCAATTCACTTCTCATGATATTATAAAATGGTACGACTCATTAATGCTACTACATAACCTAACCCCAAGAACACATGTATGATCAGCCCACCAATGGAATACAAACTTGTCGACCGCATGCTCGCCCCTTTCAACAACTGTCGATCTCTGCGATCGCCCACCGCCGATCTCCCTGCAGAGTGTAAACACTCTCTGACATACTGTACAAGTAAAATCATTAAATATGGTGATACAACCAACTAAGAGGTCTCGTCTAAACCAGCCATTTCGTGCAAATCTACAGAATTGCGTCTCGTCCTCAAAAATGAACTTTTGCATGGTTCCAAGCGTCCTCTTCTTAGCCATCAAGCTGGCTCATAATCATAATTAGCTTTATTTTTTTCTTGTATAAAGGTGAACCGTTGCACCTCACTAAAGAACAAACTGAATAAGCTAAATACAGAAAACTCATTAGCATATACAAGTCCGCGTTACGACCATCATTGTAACACTAAACTGTTGATAGTCATTTCTATGAAAGAACTTTTCTTCTCGTCGATCTCCCACCAGATCGGCGAAATCGTGTGTTGTTTCATTGCACAACCCTATATTAAATAACTACCAAATCAAACAGTTTTCCATACATCACTTAGCTACCCTTAATCTTTGAAATAAGGAACGTTGACGATCGATCGTCAACATATAGGTATAAAAATTTTTCAAGAGTGATAAAGCTAAGCACAAAAATGTTCTTTTAGCACCCTTATTTCATGCCTCGTTTGATCATCTTATAAGTCCAACTCTGTCATTCGAATGAATTAAAGATTTTAAGTTTAAGAGCTTAGAATTTTTTTCTGAAGTAATAATGCTATATAATACTCAAAATAACAAGTACAATTGGCATGTGAGACATCACAAAAACAAGAACAAGTCTAGACACAAATTCTCCTGGACTTACACAAGCTGCCAATGGAATATCCTACAATCGAAAACACATCCAAAAAGGAAAAGAATAAACTCCAAACACGAAAGACTAGAAATCGAATACAACCGAGACTCTAACTATTATATTTTGTATGCATCCCTACATCTAAATTTTCTAATATATTTATTGAAACTTTGCATACAAGTACATAAAAAAAAAAAAGTAAGTTCAAAACTAGTTTGACCCTTCCTTTTATTTTTGCAATTTTATTATCATTAAATGAAACTATATGCCAACAAGGAAAAAAAAAAAGATCTAAAATTTTAATTGCATAAAATAAAAGGTAGACTTGTTAAAAATAGATTCAAAATAAGAAAAACAAAAAGATAAATTACGATCCATTTAAATTTGATCATATTATTTTTATAAAATAAGTAAATTTTACTTATATGCATGGCTAGACCAACACTAGATTGTTAAACTTCATCACGGATCTTGAATAAATAATTTGGTGTATACGAAACACATACTTGATGCGGAAGACAACGTAATTTGTGATCTTGATCTTGATGATCACACGGGGTTGAATCGATTGGTAGATCTAAATCAGTTTCTCCTTCATGACCTTCTCTTACCGTAGCAGAAAACTGATGGGAAAAACTGCGTACCCTAATAGGAGGAGAGATGACTAATTTATATAGGAGTGACTTTAGATCTGATACGTCCATCAAGTATCCAGATTAATGGCTTAGATTTGTTTGACTATTAAATAAGGACCTAGCCCAATAGGATAATTAAATGTGAGCCCAATGCTTTCGGGCCACATATTCTTACATTCTCCCACTTGGTCCGAAAGCCCTTAATTTAATAGTGTAACATTAGGTGCGCATAAACAAATCTCATTATGCCATACATCATAATAAACTATGACATGATAAACCATATAGTGAGAGTTATGGCGGTTGTACACTCTCGATTCGCATACTTCCTTCCATATACTACAACACTAATAGTTCAACACATCAAATTTCATAATTATATATAAATATCATAATGTCCACTTAATTGTCATGAAGACTTTCATTTGTTGTTCTAAACATAATGTATAAAAAATCATAATGAACAAGAAATTCGATAATTGTCATAAACATAACATCAATGAGCTCAAGAGTGTACCATAACATCATCATAATCAATCATCAATACAACCAAGACCCATTCTATGTACATATCTTTAATGTCTTTGGTTGTAGACCTTTAGTGAACGGATTTGCAATCATAAAGTCTGTTCGAATATGTTCAATGCACACTCTTTGTTTCTGAGCTTCCTCCTTAACGACAAAATACTTTAATTCCACGTGTTTTGCACCCTTGGAATATTTGTCGTTCTTGGAGAAGAAAATTGTTGCGGAATTATCACAATACATTTTCAGCGGCTTGGTAATGGTGTCGACAACCCCAAGTCCTGAAATAAAGTTCTGCAGCCATAATGCGTGAACTGTAGCCTCATAACAAGCTACAAGCCTCCATAATAGATGCAACTATGACAGTCTGTTTAACACTTTCCCATGATATTGCTCCTTCGGCAAGGAGAAACACATAGCTAAACATTTACTTGCGACTGTCAAGGCACCCAACAGAATCTGAATCTGAATATCCAATCACCTCAAAGTGATCAGATTTCCTAAACGTGAGCAGATCCTTCGTCCTTTGAAGGACATCATCAATATATAGAACCAAAAATATAAACTTACTCCCACTGATCTTCTGGTAAATACACCGATCAACAGTGTTTTCTTGAAAACCAAAAGACATAATGGTATCATTAAACTTAATATACCATTGTTTGGAAGCTTGCTTCAATCCATATATTGACTTCTTAAGTTTACACACCATGTGACCATTCCCTTCTATGGAAAAACCCTTCGGGTTGATCCTGTTGGGATCTGTGAGGATCTCGTTATGTACAAATCACGAATTCAATAGCAAACGTAAACCTATGCGCAGCGGATCTAAAGGTTTGACGTAGAGAACTTACAGCTTAAAATTTATGTAGATCTGGTTGACCACGAATGGTTGACCGTAATTTATTGACCGCAAATCACGTCTTGGGTTGCGCGAACAAGATCAGATCAAAACCAGATCAAACGGATGCAAACAGATCAAAACGAAAATTGCTGCCAGGCACCTTCCGGTGGCGCGTGAGGGTGCGTGCAGCCTCGGAATCCGGCGACGTCGGCGGCGATGGAAAGCTTTCGTCGAGGCAGTCGTCTGGGTATACTGTACGTCTCAATCGGACTTCCGGTTAGTTCTGTAGGTCAAAATATATTTTGTCTTGGTTTACCTACAGATCTTCTACTGTATTACTCAATACACCCTTCTTCAACTTGTACCAGTGGAGCAACAAGAAGAAGATAAAGCTCGAATGAGATCTAGAGAGAGAGAGAGGCGTGTGAGGCGTGTATCTCGTGTGAATGAGACTTTTGTTCTCTTCTCATGAGCTTAATGATGTATATATAGAGCTACAGTAAGGACCCTAAGGAGATTAGGAAAAGGGCTCCTTAATTAATTAGACTAACTGTGGGCCAAACCCACTCCTCTAATTAATTAAATAATATTAATGGGCCACCAACATTATATTATTGCACTCCCTTTCCCTAGCCCAAATTACATTTGAGACTCCAATAATAATTACTCTATTTACCTCCCCACGTTTAAGATATAATGTCCATTAATTAATTCGATTACTGACAATCAAGAATTAATTAATTTATTATTATTTCACCGAAGCTAGCGCTCGTTCATCACATTCTTATTATGCCGGAATTTAATCCACCTGCAGGGTTTAGCATAACAATCCTTCATGAACTCACTCCGGGGACATCATCAAACTAACGCACATGGTGACCGTAAATATCCTAACAGCACATCCTATATATAATAATATTACCCAAAACAGTAGGAATATTAATCCAGCGAACTGAACCTCACCCATGTGAATCAAAGTAATATATATTATATATATCTGCCTGTTTAATATCTTACGGGTTAAGAGAACGCAGTAATTAACCGAGGCCTAGTTCATTTACGACGATCAGTATAAAATGAACTTCTCCTCTCTGGGATCCTGTTCAATACATAAATGTACTAGTGCAACTAATCAGTCAAGACAAACTGTACAGTTGACACTACAACCGTTCGGATGGGGTGTTCATGTCCATCTAGGTTGTGAACAACTATTCTTGTTCGCAAGTGACTGATAGAGTGATCTTCGGTTCGCCCGATGACGACCCACCCTATCTAAGTGCAGAACAACAGAACGTAGAACTTGTTTAATCTAACATGATTCTCATTCATAAAGGGTAAATGTGTAATAACATGCAAAGCCAAGCTTTCAGTATATAACACTAACAATCTCCCACTTATACTTAAAGCTTTCGCTTTTACAGTATAGTCCTATCAATCCGTTATTCTAAAAGACCTATGTCGATCCTATTGCCATGCTCATGACTCCCATTCCTTCCACGTGTTTGACGAAGACCTTCCCCGGCAAACTCTTCGTGAAAGGATCAGCTAGGTTGTCCTCTGACGCAATCTTGGCAACATCAACGTCTCCTCTACCAACGATATCCCGAATCAGATGGTATTTGCGCTCTATGTGTTTGCTTGCCCTGTGGGCTCGAGGTTCTTTTGAGTTCGCTACTGCTCCACTGTTATCACAGTACATGGTGATACTACGTGGCAAACTCGGTATAACCTCTAAGTCCACTAAGAAGTTCCTGAGCCAAACTGC